TTTTTTCCCCCCCCCCCCCCAAATTATGCTACTGAAGGTGGAGTTTCAAGTCCTTTATCTGCACCAGGAAGAACAGAGCTTGAATACTTATCTGTTACATCACAGCTCATGATTCTTCCCACTAAATTATTTGGAGGTTGGATAAGGGTCTCTCCATTATAAACTTCCAAACATCTTGGGTCCATCCCAATGTGGAATGGAAAACAGAAATTAAAATCCTGAAAATTTTGCTCAACAGCAAAACTGTTTCCTACTAAGCTTCAACCTTCAGTACAATGACTAAAACATCCCAAATCCCAACATGACAAAGTTTGGCTAATATTGTCTATTAAATAATTCACATTTCTCCCATAATTAAACCTTGGTGATATACAATTCCTTGTAGGTTTGACCCTCAGAAAGGCTTTTGGTGTCAGCTACTAGAAGGAGGGAAGACAAAATGCCTGGGAAAGAGCAAAGGCCGAAAATACCCACCAATGGATCAAGAGGTACAGGTTTTCTATAGATATTAGTCAGTATTTGTGTATACCTAATGGAAAATTAGGACTAGAGAACAAAAATAAAGAGCAGTTTTACAGATTTTTACCCATGCTTCTGCAATGGTGCAAAACAGTAGAATCTGGATCATTTGTATCTAGGTGGTTTACAACCAACTTAGTTCACAGAGGGCATGTCTACATGTGCAATTACAGCACATGAATAAACTGTGGAGCCTATTGCTTTAGAGTTAATTGCTCCTGGGCACACCATTTGAATACATGCCCAGGAGCAATACATTCCAGAGCAATAAGCTCTGCAGTTTATTCAAGCACAGTATGTGGAGCCCAGTCAGAGCAGCCCCAGCTAGTAGAGGTGTACAGGGGTCACCCTACAAGCTCAGGGCTGCTCCTGTCTGGCTCAACAAGCTGAAGAAGGACTGGCTAGGACACAAGGGAGCTTCAGTTTGGGGGCTAGCCAGGAGACAGTCCTCACACTGAAGCACCCTGGTACCCCAGCCAGCTGGACAGTGCACTCCTGCAGAGTTTTTTTTACTCTGCAGCAAAATAGTACTTGTACTTATCCTGCTGTAGAGTAAATTAATTTACTCTAGCTTAATACGGGTGCACGTGTAGATGCAGAGATGTTTCTTGGGCAGCTAATTAGTCAATTGTGCAATAAAACTCTTGTGTAGACATGCCCAGAGAGCTGCCAAATTAAAGATAGGCTGCTCAAGTGTTTGCCATGACTTTTACTTCAAAGGATACTGCTTCTCTAATTATTTGGAGCTCATCAGCAAACCCACATAGCTGTTTGCTGTGGCTCTATATATATCCCCAGGTAGTTTGCAAACCCTCATCTTTACAGGGTAGTAAGGATACTTTGAAAGACACTTTCAAAGGATCCAGATTCTATTGAAAAGTTTTAAAGAATATAAAACGTTTGTTTAGACAGATTCTACTAATGCTAAATTAATTAACTTTGAGTACTAAAAATGCTGATGCATGTGCCTTAAGAATTTTAATAAGCCTGTTAAGTTATTTTTGAATGGGGAGGGACAAAAAGGAAGAGTCATGTCGGTGAGGTAGGATTTTTCCTTGTTATTTTGCACCGGCATGTCCTTTTCTGAGGCAAACTCTCTTTGACTATTACTTTCTCCTCCCCCTCAGTCTCGAGCTTTTCTTTCAAGCTACTACAGAGATCACAATGTGGAACTGTCCAAACTACTGCATAGACTGGGACAACCTCTGCCATCATGGCTCAGACAGGAACTACAGAAAGTGAGATAGCACTGAAGTTCAGAGGACCAAAGGCTCTAATGACATTTGTCTTCACCATAAACCCCTTTGCTTTCCCCAACTTACATGTGATCATCACTGGAGGGCTTCGTAAATAACTCTTTCTCAAAAAAACCCACAAAAACCCACAATGAATAAAAAGAAAAAAAGAAAACTGTTATATATGCACGTGCTGGCAGTTCTTCTCATCAATCCCTTTGTCAGCTTCCAGGAAACAATATGGAGCTATGTGGCATTATTCTTTATCCAGACTGGGACTCTCACATAGTTTAGTCCCTCTGTTTACCAGAAAGATCCACAAACTGTATGTATGATTGATAGTCTTCACCGTATATGACAAATTACAGTCTGTCAGGACACAAGCAAAGGACGGGAACATCTCTCAGTGGATTGTGAGGTTGGTCATTAGTTTTCTTTTCTATTTGTTCTTTGTTCAGTTTGCAGGGTAAGAAATCAGGGTACACATCATTTTACAGAGGACATTTCATACTTTGCACTAAGCTGCCTTAATAATAACTAAAAATTATAAACTATTTAGTAAAATTGAATAGTTGTCTTTGCTGCTTGAACACAAGTTGTTCAGTGCATGTTGTGTAAAATTTTTTGCTGGCACAACTCTATGCAGTTTTTGAGAGATTTGGTTCATAGTCATAGGCTTTCCTTTATAACCTTTTTCTTCCCCAAAAAGATGTACCCTGGTCCATTGGACCAATGTGGGTCTCTGAGGTTAAATGCAGAAACGTGACTTTCCTCTTGGTGGATTTAGTAGTGAACCTCAACAAAGTTGGCTGATTGAAAACTTTGTGCACTCTGCTGAACTGCCACTTTTACTCAGCTACTTTGCCACCCTTGATAAGGTTCTTTATCATGCTTGTCTAGCTCCCACAGTGCTTGTAACAAAGACTTGGGATGTGAAATCTTATTAAATAGTTTGTCATAATGTCATTGGTGCTCATAAAACCAGCATCAAAAAGGTCAAAAAATCTAAGCAGGCCATTAGGCTAGTTATCTGCACACTGACAATGGCTTAATTCTGAAAATTTAGTTGTTGGTCTTGAGACCAAATATTGTTACTCTGAAACCTTTAAAATAGGGAAATTGGGCAATAGTTCTTCTAGAAAGGGCCTACAGAATTTAAAAGAAATGTCAGTACAAATGCATCTGGGTTCCATAGAAATTATTTACAAGCTTATAGTATTTAATGAAGGATCTCCTTCCTGTACAATTTTTAAACCAATCACTATAAAACAAGAAGGAATACTATCCATAATATATCAAATATTTAATTTATAGTTTTTTACTTACACATTGAGATACTGTGTTTTTGGGTAGACACAAACCTAGTTTTATATGCCCACTTATTGTACATGCCTTTTGGATTATACAAAGTATAGATTACTGTAGATATGATATTGTGAACACCGTTGTATTCCTTGGAATAGCAAGGTCAGGTTTTCAAGGCTGGGAAGTAACTCAGCTGGATATTTAAGCTATGCAATGAAAACCCATGCTTACAGACATGATTTGGTGAGCAAACAAATCATAGAAGCATAAAAAATAAGGGTTGGAAGGGACCTTGGGAGGTCATCTAATCCAACCCCCTGCTCAAAGCAGGACCAGCCCCAACTAGATCATCCCAACCAAGACTTTGTCTAGCTAGGTCTTAAAAACCTTCAAGGATAGAGGGTCCACAACCTCTCTGGACAATTTGTTCCAGTGCTTTAATACACTCCTAGTGAGAGAGGTTTTCCTAAGATCTAACCTTAACTATCCCTTGCTGCAACTTGACACCATTGTTCCTTACTCTGTCATCTGCCACCACTAAGAACAGTCTAGCTCCATCCTCTTTGGAATCACTCTTCAGGTTGCTGAAAGCTGCTATTAGTCCCTCCTCCCCCAACCCCAGTCTTTTCTTCTTCAGACTAAATAAGCCAAGTTCCCTCAGCTTCTCCTCAGAAGTCATGTTCCCCAGCCCTCTAACCATTTTTGCTGCCCTAGGCTGGACTGTCTCCAATTTGTTCAAAACTGGACATGGTACTCCAGGGCATTTTTACATGTGCTCTGGGACACGGTGCCAGGTACTTTAATTAGTGAGCTGCGCTAATTAAAAGCACCCACGCCTCATATGTATCAGCATCCCTCATGCTGAAAAAATGGTGGTGGTTGCTTTGAAATAAAACACGTTCAATGTGGGGATGCATGGGGACACTGATACATGCGGACGCTGATACACATGACAGGGAAGGCTGCCAGAGCAAGTCAATTTCCATTCTCTGGCAGACTCAGTTAATTGAGTTTGCTCCGATGCGCTGGATTTCCAGCATGGAACATTGCTCTGATGCGCTGGCAATGCTCCTACTAATGTGACCCAGTATACTGTTAGCCTTCTGGGCAATGAGGGCACACTGTTGGCTCATATTCAGCTTACTGTCCACTGTAACACCCAGGTCCTTTTCTGCAGAGCTGCTGCCCAGCCAATCAGTTGCCAGCCTGCATGGGTTTGTTTCATCCTAAGTTCAGGACTTCGCACTTCTCCTTAATGAACCTCATGAGATTTCTTTTGGTCCAATCCTCCCATTTATCTAGGTCACTCTGAATCCTAGTCCTACCCTCCAGCATATCTACTATTCCTCAGCTTGTTGTCATCTGCAAACTTGCTGAGGGTATACTCCATCCCATCATCCAGGTCACTGATGAAGATCTTGAACAAAACCAGCTCCCAAACCCTGGGGCACTCCACTTGATACTGGCTGCCAACTAGACATCAAGCCATTGATTACTACCCTCTGAGCCCAATAGTTCAGGCAGTTTTCTATTCACCTTACGGTCCATTTATCCAACCCACATACCCTTAGCTTGCTTGCAAGAATGTTGTGGGAGACCATAACAAAAGCCTTGTTAAAGTGAAGCTATATCATGTCCATGGCTCTTCCCACATCCACAGAGACAGTCATCTCCTCATGAAAAGCAATCAGGTTGGTCAGGCATGACTTGCACTTGGTGAATCCATGCTGACAGTTCTTAATTACCTTCTTCTCCAAGTGCTTAGAAATGAATTTCTTGAGGATCTGCTCTATGATTTTTCTAGGGATGCAAAGGAATTATTTCCACCACTTTATACAACACAACATGAAACAGTGCCACTTCTTATTTCCCTCTTTCCATTATCTGGATTTTAAGACCCGGTTCAGAGGACTTGGGAACTTTAAAATTAGTTAGGCATCTAGAGTCTTCAATTTAAGACCCAAATTGCAATGTAAGAGACTCTGCTTAGCATTTGCCTATCCCTAGAAGCACCTGAAGTGACTATGTACCTTTTTTATTTGAATATTACAGAGGGTCCCACAGTTGTACTTCTGTATGTATCCAAAACTGCCCAAGAACAAGCAGCTGAGCATCTCTCTCCACCTAAACCTAGTTGCAACCTGCTATATCTATGTCCCCTGAAGGAGGATCTATTAGATGTGCTTTTAGCCAGCTAACACTGTCAGGCTTTTCTCTAAATGTGGAAGAAGTGCCCACCTTTTAATTAATAGCCTTGTTAGAGAGCTTTGTCAAGAAGAGGGATACCTGGTATCCACTAATACATGTTTAAGCATTGAATTTTATCTTCAGCAAGTCATCAGTAATTAAAATAAATTCATAATTTTAAAGTGAAAAGCTAAGGAAATTTCAAATACTTTGGGGTGGGGGAAGAGTTAACATTTTAAAGGGCTTTCATGAGAATGAAATGTGTGCCTTAAAATTTGCTGCACTCCCTTTGAAGGAGAAAAAAAGAAGACCAGCTTCTCACTTAGAAAAAATGCAAATTTAAATCTCATTTAGGCAATAGCATTACATCCTTGAAAGACATTGCAGAACAGAGAAATCATGTTATTTCTCTAGCTTTGCCCTGTGTTGTCATTTCTTACATTTTTAGACAGGTGTCACACGACCAGGTTTTCTCATGTTCTCACTGATATGCTGTCATTAATGTGGCTTTATTATGTGACACATGACGATAAAATAACAGCATAAGATCTTATTCTTTCCATCTGTAACAAGAGCTATCAATGCAGTCATTCTTCACAATGGCATTATTTTAGAAGTGTCTTTGTGCACTAGCTGTAAGTAAGTATTCTTGATTATTTTTCTGTTAGCAATCCATGCAATTATGGTTTGATATCAATGACTAAGTAACTGTTGAAAATATACACCATCAGTTAAACATATACAACCAAAATGAATAGTAAACCAATTTTGAAAAGAGAAACAGCCTTTCTTTTTAGTTTCAGGGCCTAGTTTTGCATTTCTTCCATGTGAAGAACTCACAGGGAAATCAATAGTAGTTCTACTTCTGGGGAGATTGTAGGACTGGATATACAATTTTTTCCCCTACTTCAGTTCAGTGTCTTAATAGCCAGTAGGTTCTGGTCTGCTCTTAGAAATATTTATTTATAGACTTGAATTAGTTTGGGCTCACAAGAGACTTGATCCAGTGCCCTTTGAAGTCAATGAAAGTCTTTCTATTAACTTAGGTGAGCACTGGAATGGACCCTAATTGCTTGTTTTTAGTAAACTACACCCATGTGATTCAGCTTTCACTATTTGAACTCCACCACCACATTGGTTTCTATTATTGTGTTACATTTATGCATTCTCCGTCTCAATTGACTCAGTCCTTCAATTTAATCTGTATGGGTTGATGTCTATCCCTATGTAGTCCTTCACAAGTTAAATGTGGATGAAATCTCCCTATACAGAACAGTTTCCTTGATTATTCCACCTTCACTCCTCCTGAATATACCTCCTTCCACACTCTTTATCTTGTGCAGCTCTGACTTTAAAAGTCCTGGACAGACACAGGTGCCAGAGTCTGTACTAGATCTGTTTACAGGATTGGCGTCTCAGTGCTTATAAAATTGAGTTTATATAACTGAGGTTGTCATTTAGCTAGAGGCAATCAGAATAGCATCTGAAATCTTCTAAATCGTGTATTGACCTCTCAAGGTCTAAAATAAATTTTCCAGATTAACTGCTTTTAGACTCCTTTTTAATAAAACAAATTTTCTTTCAGATACAGAGTCAGTCTGCCAAGTTTCCCCAGAACAAATTAAAATGGTAGAATTATAAATTCTTGGGGGAAGAAAAAAGTTGCATAATGAAAACAGTGATGATCCAGACTTTGTAATGTGATAATGAGGCATTAGGGACATGATCTGAATTCAGAAACAAAGACCACTTTGTGGTATCAAATTGTATCCCCTGCCTCTCTTTCTTATTTGTATTAAATTGTGAGTGAAAGTAATGCTTATAAAAACTGCTAGCCCAGTAGACTGAACACCAATCTTTGTTCATAGATTATCACAGAGGATATCCTAGTAGTTTCAGTACAAGATGCTACAACATCCAGTGAATGTGATTTAGCCCTCAAATGAAGGGACATCTACCAGGGCTTAGAGGTAGTGTCATCCCTTCGTCAGCCATTCCAGGGTCTCCATCACTGAGAGTTTCTCAAGGAACTGAAATTCTGTACATGTTCCTGAATATATCCCTCCTCACAATTGGCTCATACTAAAATCTACCCTTAAAATAGATTGTTCCTATCATTTTATTAGCAAATGTATATACAAATCAATATAAAACCAAAGACAAATACTATTTGAAGGACTACTTTAAAAGTGTACATTCTCACTATAGGAAATTCTCCCATTAAGGGAAAAAATACTTATCCTTTCTTTATTCTCTTGTTTTCCTTCCAGTGCATCCCTTTAATGCAACTGCTAAGGTGTGGACCTGTCTATGGATTCGATCCCCCATCAGTAGTGTATCTAGCAAAAATAAATAAGGACTTCCGAACAACACAAACTCTTATATGTTAAATGTTCTACCAACAGGATAACTTTTATAAGACATAAACAGCATCATTTGGAAGTATTTGAAAAAGATAAACTTATTCATAGATCTGAGACATGGGGAAAGGATTATCTGCCTTGCGGACAGGGTTCCTCCTCCCCATTTTTCCCCTTATCTGACTAGAGCCAATCTAGTTTAGTGCTGGGTATATATTTGGTGTTCGAGGAAAAAAAGAAAAATCAACTTTGATCATTCAGAATATTTTTGTTTGTTGGGGGAGAGGGACAAAAGCTGTATTTGCTAAAACTGTTTTCAATAATTGATGTGTATACACCTTATTATTGTTTCTTCTCACTTCTACAGAATAAACATTTCTGCTGGTAAATTATGTACAAGAGTCTTTTTAGTACCTTATAAACTCTAAGGGCTGAACCAAAATATTGCTCTGTGACTGGCCTCTTCCTTATATTCCAGGATATGCACTGACTCAGCTTCTCTTATCCTCTGCATTTATCCTGTGCCTTCACCTGTCCTCAACATTGCAGCCCCTGACGCTTTGGGATTTACAGCTTCCTGCTGCATGGGAATTTTAAGTGTTGTAGACCAAATCAACTGCCTTACTCTTTGTCCTCCAGCTGTTGAGCAAAGAACATTAATTTTGGCAGTGCTGCTGCCTACGTGCAAGTGATAGTGTATAATACACATTACAGGGCTGACTTTCAAAAGTATTAGGCATCTACTTTCAATTTAATTCAATAGAAGCTGTGAATGCTCAGCTCTTCTTGTAAAATTGGCCCCTATACACAATCTGCTCTAGGTATCATAAGTTTTTGAAAAGTGCCTAGTGATTTTTTGAGTCTGAAACATCTTAAAGGGGCTTGATTTTCAGAAGTTGCATGCTCACTGCTTTCCCCAAAATCAGGCTAATTTTTGGTATCTCTAGGCACCCAACATGAATAAGTATTTATTTATGTTATAGACATCTGTCAGAACAAAAGTTTAAGCATATAGAAGTAAAAAATACTTAATAAAGGGCTTACAGAATAACTTAACTATTCCTAGCTAGGGCTTATATCCTTAACAGAATTAGAAATTACATTACAGACTTCTTAATATCACCTTTTGCTTCTGCCTGATCTGCTTGACAGCAAAAGTACAGCAGGTAAAATGTCCAAAAGCATGTAAATGACTCAGAAGTTTATGTCCTGTTTTCAGAAGTGAATTAGGAGCCCTTTGACTTCTAGTGATAAGAAGCTGAACTCAAGGAGAGTCAAATGAATAAACACTTTTATAATCCTCATAGGCATGTAGCAACCTGGATTTTTTGGTGCCCGAACACCTTTGTAAATCTGATCCTCAGAGGCTTTTCAAATAATTATCCAGCATTTTCTGTTCCTCAGAGATTCCTGTCCTCCATTTGGTCCTATTCTCTTTTATTCCTTATATTGTTTCACTAATAGAATGCCTTTAAGGCTTTAAGATGTGTGAAAACACAGATGAAGCTTGACAATAGAGTTTTAGGTCTTGGTCTAAAATTTAATCTCTTCCAGGAGTACATATACATTTTCTTCAAGGCTTATTCAGGAGAATGCAGTATTTCAAAACAATATTGTTGAGATTGCCATTTTTATTTAAACTTATCTAGTTTAACTGTTACACTTTTAGTCTAATAATTCAGAAACTAATTACATTTCCATTCATTTAACTTTCTGTGTATTATTATCTTACTCAAGACCAGGGATGGGTAAAATATGGCCCATGGGCCAGATCCAACCCACCAACTGATTGTATCCACCCTGCAGCTGCCCCTGCAACACTCTGTATGAGGCCTAGTCCTGCCCACTCCCACTTGGGGAAGCCCACATCATGATCCCACCTGCACCCACTCTGTGCCCAGTGATGGCACCACCCTGGTCCTGGCCTCATCCCCAGCCCCAGCCCTGGCCAGCATGCACTGCTTCCCAGTGGGACTGCTCCAGCTGCTGCTGCATCCAACCAAGTACTGCTTGGCTCCCCCCATTACCAGTGGCTTCTCCTCCTCCTGCTCCTACTGTATCACTCTGGGCATCAAGTAGTGCGGGGAAGGGCACTGGTCATGGGGACATGTGCCCAGCTAGGCAGGGCACCAACTCCAGCTCCCAGCTGCCTTCCACCTACTCCAACCTTCCAGCACAATGAGCAGCCACCTGTGGGCAGCTGAGTGGATGGAAGGCAGCTAGAGCATCGCAGAAGGGGCAGAAGAAGGAGGAGCCACTGAAGGCAGGGGAGCTGCATGTACACCTGCCTCTTCCCCCCTCCCCACTTTGCTGGCTGACTCCTGGGACCTAACACATGGGCAGACCCACACACACATGTACACACCCACTTCCCCACACACCCTAACACTCAACGGCCCCACATACCCCCACACTACCTACACCCCCCCACACACATGCATACCCATCCCCTGCATACACACACACACCTCCCCCCACAGACATACACACTATACAAGAGTAACACTTTATTTTGAGTTATGTAATTACCTTTATATACATTACTAAAAAAAAAAAAATTGGGGGCAAAAATATTTTTGAAATAAAATTAAAATATGTTATAGTAGACATTTTATATGTGATTTATTTTTTAAATATAATTTGTTAAAATGATATCTTCTGAAAGACTTTATGTGTTTGGCCCTCAACAGTTCACCAAAATTAGTTAAGTGGCCCGCCAACTGAAATAATTGCACACACCTGCTCTAGACTATGCTGCACTGTGTTGTAGATCAACATCTGTTGATCATAGTCCTAGATGGAAAATTTAACTTCCTGCATTGAGTTCAATTTTTAATATAAGAGGAAAAACTGAATACATAGAAGGATGACTGATGAAAATCTGTAGCTGTGGGGCAGGTATACACTTATGTTTATTGGGGGGTTTTTCAGTTAAATGTTTTGGTTCACTTTGTTCACAAAGGCCAAAAAAATCACCCAAATATTAATCTGTCTCTCTTCCATAAATGAATAACTCACATTGATGCAAATGAGATTCAGATTTTCTCATGAAGAAGGGAATAAATAATACAATATAATGACATTGTAGTTATAGCACATCTTTCTGCAGAGTACTGTGTAATCGCACGGAGTAAGCAAGTAAAGGTTGTTCTGTAACATGTAGCTTTCAAAATATCATAAACAACCTTATGTGGAAAAGCAAAATCACCTTTTATCTACTCCATATATACTTGGGACTGGAATAAGCCAGAACTTTGTTTTGCAATTCATTGTGTAGTATACAGAGGAATGTGGAAGAAATTCAAATCTGGATTGGGATCTCAGCTTTATTACTCAATCCTATCTTTAATCATCAGAGGACATGTGCCATATAAAGTACTGCCCATGGCACAGAGTAATGCCAGCTTTATTAATCAAGCTCTGGTTTTATGCTAAAAATGTCCCAAAACATATTGAATGCAACTCTGCTTTATCTGTATTAGAAAACCATAACCCATTCAATAAACAGTTTTCAATTTTCTATAGGAGATTTACTCCTCCAAAGCCATGGACTTCTGTAGAGTTACTTCTGAGTTCTTCCTATGTGAGAGAAGTATTAAACTATCTGAATACATTCCTGAGTAACAAGGAAGGGAGGAAGAGATTAAAGAAATACTCATTTCTAGCAGGAGAGATTCAGTTACATATAAAGTTTGATGCCCCCCGTCAAGATAATACAAGCAAATTAAGTTAAACCAAAACTACCTTTACTGAGGTAAAATAGAAAATATATGTTGAAATCTCTTCTCATCTTTTCTTTCTTTATAATATTGCCAGAATGAGTTCATTAATTTCAGATGTAAGTATATAACCTATGCATTTAACCCTTCAAAACTGAGTTACACTAATGTTCCTTTTACCTTTGATCTTTGGTTTCTACTGAACAGACTACCTTTCTTCACAAACAATAGCCTAATCTTACCTCTGGATCCTATTTACCACCTTCCCACCAGTGTACCCTTTACTCTCCAAGTCCATTGTTTATTACCTCTTAATTTCAGTTGAAAATAAATTTCTCTCTATACTAATTTGTGACTTCCTGGCTACCAGCAAGAAAATGAAAGGCTCTAAGAAGTAAATTTTACTTCTTACATGGTAACTATAAATGAGAATTTTTCAAGTAGCCTGGTTAAATAGTGAAACTTTGCTGGAAGAGGGGATATACTGAAAATATCCTTTAAGAGTCTTAGCTTCTAAAGGTCAAGTAGTGATCCCTGCATTTTATCATTTGTTCAGATGTAGACACCACTGCAATGAAGCCATTGAGTTATACTGCAGGACAGCAAATTAGGTGGTTGAGGGTATAAATCTGCCACCATTAAGGCTGGTGACCTTAGTATAAATTTTCATTTTAAGAAATAACTAAGTTTTTATATATCTCACTTACATCCTCAGTGGACTCATCTCCCTCAAATAACTACAAAAGATAATTTACTAGAATTTACCAGCTATTTGGGAGAGAATATGTATTTAGCCTACAAACCAAATTCCTTCCACCCACTTACAAGACATGATCCCAAACTTTGAAATAAAACATAGACTCCCCATATATTTCTGAGCTGGTAATCTGAAACAGTTAAGACAACCCAGATGGGTGAGTGCCTGCCAATTAACATAGCACAAGAACTCATTTTCAAAGGTTAATTGCACAGTCAGAAAGCTAAGTCTCTATATTTTTTCCTCTCCTCACAGCAAGAGAAAGTCTGGCTGGTAGAGAAGTATTTCAAAATGTACCTGAACCATGTAGGTACTGTATAATTAACTTTAGTGCTTGACTATGTTGATTTGTACATATGTAGCAAAGAGGCAACAGATTTTTCAGATAGGGTTAAACTGAGGTAAAAATGGCCCATTCTGAATGGCATGGCTAATAATGGTCATAATGTAGGAAATAATGTTTTGTGCTGCTGTGTAAGATATTGTGAAAGGATCAAAAAGTCACACAGACTTATAGTCACATGAATGATGAAAGAGTCCATTCAACAGCTGCAGGAGGTATTTTCTACTATAGGTGCTTAATTTCCACAAATTCAATTGTCCTTCCTTCTCAAGTCCTCATGACAGAGTATTTAGCAGAATTCACAGATTTGTTAGAATCTGATGGGGCTGCACTGTGAGCACTTCTGTTACGACCTCAAATGTGCAACTTCTGGGCACTCAACCCTGCACCTTAGCACCTACACCACCCCAGCCTCCCAACATCCCCACAAGGGAGGCAACTTGAAAATGCAAATTATAGAAATGAAGATGACAAGACACAAGTGAAGTATATTGCAGCTCATTGTATTGCCCAACAGCATAGAAATGATAATTTAAATGTGTGGGAGTAAAACTGGTGAAACCTACTTCC